CAAGAGGAAGCCAGGTAAAATAGCAAAACATGGCAGAGAGACTGGTTTGGAAGCACAGGTAAGTCATACCTCAATACTCCATAATTTGGAGATAAGGAGAAGAGCAGAAGAGAGGCTTTGCAGGAAAACCTTCATTCTAGCGTAAGTAATGAGAGCGATTGCTGAGGCCCTGGATGGCTGCTGCTAATAGAACTTCTTGTGAACTTTCAGCCACTGATGAGGAGGTAGGAGGCCTGGGAGTCAGACTACATAAGACAGACAAGCATCTGGCCTACATGGCCAGTGCTCAAGGCACCCCACAGAGGCTAGAGTATAATTCTGAGGTTAAAATGTGGTTTGGAAATTGGAATAATCCATTAAAACCTTGGTGACTAGGTAATCGTATTGTTCCTCAACAGCAGAAATGTGTGGACTTGAATTTGAAAACTGTTTCACTAGAATTCTTCCCTGTGTCTCTACTTCTTTCTGTGTGTCTTTTAGCCTTGCACATGATAAAACTGTCTAATCCTGGGCACTAACTGCTTAACTCTCAGTATGTAGTCAGTTTCCCAAAGAGGATGGTGACAGGACCAATTCACCCGTGTCACCCAGAAACAGAGTTCTCGTGCCAGACTGCCTCACAGGCTTCGTGCCAGCCTATAACTGAGTATCAATAAGTCAGGTGCCCAATCTGACACAGTCAGCTGTGACCAGGGTGGAAAGGTGACTTGAATGCAAATAAAGACTCAGCAAAAAAGAAATTCCTAAAACAGAAGGCAACAGCTATTCGGGCTGTTCACAAATATTCTCACTGTCATGGGCACAGGGCAGGTTCATACATCCCGCATCCACCTTGAGCACCTTACTTGCTTTGACTAAAGCAGTGTAAGTGGTACTAACAAATGTCACACCTGGGTGAACATTTTAGTGGCCCTTGTACGATTCATCATGTTCTCTCAATCCTACTACAAAAAAGAGTGGAAGTAAAGGTTGAGATGGAGAATGTTAGTTTGTGTCCCTAAATCCCTGTACTGAATACAGGCTAAAAGAGTTAGGGGTGAGAGTCAGAGGAATAATATTTATTACTATTGATCTAACTCTGTACTTATCTCTTAAAATCATTGGATATATTTACATCAGAAAATATTACATTTGAACGTTTGCCAAAAGAAAACTTTATAGGAGATAACATATTATAAGCGGCTTATTATTGTTTTATCTTAAAGGATTTTGAGTACATCAATTCTTTTAGCTTATGTTCAACATGAATCTGTCACATAGAAATTATATTTTGTGGCAAATAAGGTTATAGATATTTATATTATGTAATAACTGTAGCATGATCTAGATGTTTATATCTCCTTCAGAGAGCATACAACATAGAGATGTAAATTCTTTTCATTGCAATTCTGCATAAATAGAGTTTCTACACTACATTGCCAAACTTGGATCTTGAAAGTGATAAAGTACAGATGTCTACAGTTGCAATCATAAAAATGTAATTGCTGAGAAAAAATATTTCTGATCCATTGGAGGAATTTATCACAGAGGGATGCAACTGTATAAGTTATCACACAGAGAAAATGAAAGCGAATGATTGAAATATATCCCAGGCTGAACATCCCTACAGAATGACCTAGTGATTTACCTGTGCCCAAGAGAAAAAAATAGATTAAAGATAAATCAAGTTTGGTGAAGAAGGCTCTGGTAACATAAAAAAAGCAGAATAAAGATTTATGGATAAATGAATTTGGAAGTCAGAGTGACATAATAGTACCTATGACCAATTACTCCAAAAATTAAAATAGAATTTTGACTTAGTGTTATACACAGAGGTGGTAAGTAATATCTGTGGTACCTTGAAAGCAAAGGAATACAAAATGAAGATATAATGAGCAAAGGTGAGAATTTTTTAATGGGGCTACTAAATTGATAACTTTATCTGATGACACTATAAAGTTAAAACTCATGAACTCCTTTTGGAATGTTTTCCAATATAATCAAAGACTATATTACATACTTAAAGTATTTTTAAATTTTACTTATTGATTTTGTTGCAAGAAAGATGAAGGGAGAAGGGGAAGAGAGAGAGAGAGAGAGAGAGAGAGACATTGATTTGTTCTTCCATTTATTTATGCATTCCTTGGTTGCTTCTTGAATGTGCCCTGCCAGGGGATCGAACCTGCAATCTTGGTTTATAGGGATGACACTGCAAACAACTAAGCTACCTAGCCAGGGCAATATTATATACTTAAAATAAACCATGTAACTATCTCACATTAAACACTCTTTGAAAAAAATGTAATAAGATATTTAATGTGATGCTATTCTAGAAAAAAAATCTTTAATATAGTTTAATGGTATTTTTTACTTGTATCAATAGGTGATACATTATCAGAGTGAGAGATAAAAGAAGGTTATGCATCAAGTCCAAAAGGTCAGTTATTTTAGGTTAATAATTCTTTGACTTTAAAGTGTACTGGTTTTTAGTAAGAAGAATCCATTATAATTAAAATCAAGAATGTGTCCAAATAATTTTATTGTAGCAAAAATCTCCTTTATGAGGTAGTTCCTGTACATAGTAAATATTCTATAAGTTACTAACATTTTAATTTAATTTGACTTGAATATTGCTAAGATCTAGAAACTTTTTGCTAACTAGGATATGGGTAAAATGGAATTACCTTTATGAAGTCAAAATATTTTCAAAAACACTGAATAATCTTAAGGAAGATAAAATTAGCAATTGCACTTACGTGTAGCTAACAACTATCTTGCATATATTAAGTATTAATTTCCCTTTCCCTGACTCATCTACTTGCAGATCATGAAAAGTCTTAATCCAGATATCACATTAAAGTAAAAAAAATTTTAATAAAAAATTTTAAAAGCCCTCTAAAATTATCATAATCATACTTTTTTAAAGAGTTAAATTTCTTTCCAATCAAATAAAATTACTTCAGGTCATGTTCACTCTTTTAATTTTCTAGGTGTACTTAATAAATGTTTATAGATTAATATAATAATTCTTAGACATACCAGAAAATACATGCCAATCGTGAACAGCACACTCTTCAGTGTGAATTTGTTTACAATACTCTCTGTTGACTGTTATATTAATGTATTTGACTAAAGCAAAACACCTATTGGTTTCAGTTAGAATAAAAAGTATTTTTTCCATAAGGATACTTTCTCTATTCATAAGCAGTATGTCAGCAGCCTTTGTTATTAGCAGGTATTAAGTGGCCAACTCCAATGTTCCACCGTTATGGAACAAATGAGGGTTATGGAACAAATTAATGGACTTGCCTTTACCAGCCATCTCCAAAGTGAAGCCTATTTATCCATCCCACATCCAGCAGTGGCATAGGAACAAAATCTTAAATGTCTTATGAGAACTCATGTAAAACATTCCCCCAAAAAACTTGGTGATATGTGTGAAAAGGCATAAGAATTCTCCTATCTTGGTCACTTACTGTTACATTTAGTAACTAGTCCTATGGAAATAATTCAAGCCAATGACATAAATTATATACAAAATTGTTTAGCACAACATTTTTTTATAATAGCAAAAAATAGAAACAACCTAAATGTCCAAAAATGAGCGGCTACTTAAAAAAGCTATGGTGCAACCATATGATGTGAAATTAAACAGCACTTTCATTAAATCATGCTTACAGAAAAATGGGAAATTATCAAAATATTATTTTAAATGAAAGAGCAGGATAAAACCTACACATACGTTATTCTTTGCCGTGTATATATATACTCTTTATATGTAAGATATGTATATATACTCTTAAATATTATAAAGTACTAAGAAAATAATAAAAATCACCCATAATTTTATCGTACTATCAGTAAATTCATCAAAATATTAATGTCTTATCTCTTGGTGGTAAAATCATGAGTGGATTTTTACTCTCTTTGTTTTTGTTTTTTGCTTTATTTTGCTTTTCCAATTTTTTTCAATGAACTTTATCAGAAAAAATAAATAAGATTTTTCTGTTTCTTTTTAACATGAAGCCACTCAGCGAGTGGCTAAGATAGGGACTTTAATGAAGTCCCTGTAGTCATCCAAGTATCGATTTCCTGCCAGATATTAGTGCTATTAAGACTGCCATGGTTCATGATTAAGCCATCATCAGGGAAGCATATGTTCTGAATTATCCTTCCAGTCACAGAGACCTACCTGCACTATGTAAAACATGTAGCTACTACCCTCCCCACCATCCACCCCACAAAGAAGATAAGCAGAACATTTTTAAATTATTGGAAGTAAAGTCAGTATAGCTTCTCACCAAGAAACCTTTAAATGCTTCACGGTCTTAGAAAAAGGGACAATTTGTCTTAGAAGGTATGATATAAGGGAAGCCTGAAGGGGCATTCTCTCACAAATTTTGCCTTAAGGACAAATAAATTAAATCTATACCATAGTAAAAGTTTCTTCAAGCTCTGCTCTAAGAAACACCAATAAATAATGTATGGACTGACATAATAAATAAGTCAGAGAATCATTGAACATTATCAAATGATTATTCACTTTATAAAAGACCTTATCACAGAATTCCTTAAATAGCCAATTTTTTCATATACTTTGGTATTTTAAAAATAATTTCCTACTTGAAAAATGAGCCACTATGTACCTTAGATCAAGTCAACAAAATTCTCTTCACTCAGTTTTCTCATCTACATAAGGATGGTTTTACCCATGCTGCCTGCCTTACATAGTTTTCATGATTATCAAACAAAGTAACATATATAGGTACTTTGAAAACTACATATATACATTATTAATGCTGTTGCTTTTAAAAGAGGATTGAGGGGATTTTCTTTATTTTTTATTACCATTATTATTATTATTATTACTAAATACATAATTTTTACATTTTTAACAAAACTTTAAAGGACAATTTTAGATAACATATTCATTTTATAAAAATCAAATTTCCCTTGATTCCCACATTTTTTTAGTTCTGCAGTTACTGAACATTGTACACTAATTTCCATGCTATTGATACCTGGATTATGAGAGGCTCCAGTAGCTTCTCTACAGTGAATGTCTGGACCTGCAGGTCCTGGGGATCAATATTCAGTGTGATTGGTATTTCAGCTGACATGCTGTCTGTGCACAAAACAAAACACATTTATTAATTTATAAAATTCATTCTAAAGAAAGGCACTCAGTAAAATCATAGAGTACATGAGATTTCAGGACCTCTTCCTAATGTTAGCTGTAGCCCTCCAACGACCAAGTGGCCACGTCCACCAACACAGAAATGAGATATCCTCCAAGTATTCTTTGAAGTCATGCTGTCTGAGTCTAGGTCCCCTAACAAATTAATCTACACTAGCATATTCATAACTAAATATTAACTCAGTCCAGGTGGGTTTGCATTTGATCACAAGTCTTAAGTGACAAAAAAAAAATGGCCAAGTTGGTGAGGCAGCCAGAGCCCATTTTTCACCTGTTCTGGTTAATGATGACTCAGATGAGGACTCAGGTAGGACTTTGTAAGACATATTTTCGGTGCTATTTGAGGGTTTTAACTGCAGAAGAAAGTTGGAGGCAGTTTACCTCCCTGTACAGAAAAGAAACTGATATAAATTGGCATAGTTATTGTTTAAAAAAGAGAAGAAGCCTCTGAGAAGACATTGATAATAAATTTAATTTTTAAAATTATGTAAACTTACCATTAAACAAATTATAATTAAACATAATAAATTCTTAAAATAAAAATAAGTAAATTTATAGTCCACAGCAATGTATATTACTGTCAATGTAAAAATCTTCCCACTTAGCTATTACCTATTTTGTTCTATAGTTTCCTATATTGTAGGCTAAAAGAACCTAAGACTCTTCCCCCAGAAAATATCCTGATACTCCCTATGATATCCATAAACACTAAAACAAAAAAAGAAATGAAAACTATTACTTTTATTTTAGTTTCTCTATGTATTATTGTAGATATTATTGGTGAATAATTGTTTCCTCTTTAATTTGCTAGCTGGCTCCATGAATGGACAGATAATTGATGTATAGATGAATGAATGGATTAATGAATGAGTCAGTGAATGAACAAGTATACATTTTCATAGGTTCTCACTTCTCCAGAATCAATCCCTTCAACTTTACTCTCAATCTCAGTGATTCTAGGAGAGAAAATTGTTTTTCCGATACCCCTGCCTCCTCCCAACTCCTTTCCCTGAGAGTCTTCATAGCTTTTTTCAGCTCCCATTGGCCTAATTCCATAAAATCAGCATCTCTTTGCTCTTCAGCCTTTCCCATGCTACTGGATCCTTTTCCTGTATCCATAAATGTGTTACTGTATATATTCAGAGGTAATCATGACCTGTCTCCGTATGTGTATGCGAAAGCTCAGTGCTTCACCGGGTTTCTTCCATACTATATACCTCACACACAGCAGAAACATACACACACACACACACACACACACACATACACAAAAAACCATCCTGTAACTAAAAAATTATGCTCATTGACTCTTATCTTGACATACTCTAATTCTTAGATTAATAACATAATTTGTTTAAAAAAATACAGGCAAATACTGTAGAGTCCAAAAGCCTTACTCTTCTTCAGATGTTATGCCATTTAACTACACTCCACAATTCTCTTATTATAAAAATGAAGTATTCTTGAGAATAATGGTGGAAATCTACCAAAAGGCTGTCCCCAATAACTTAACATAGAAATATGAACATAATCAAAATAGTGAATTTAAAATATGATTATAATCAAACATATTCATAACACATACAATTCTTTCATGTGTGTTTAGAAAAGTTTGATATTAAAAACAAAAAAAAACTGATAAGACTTCCAGTCAAGGTGGAGGCATATGTAAACATGGCTCACCCCATGCGTAACCACAGCAAAGATTACAACTAAACTAATAGACAGCTATAACCCAGATATTGTCAGAAGATTGAGCTGTATGGAAGTCTGACAACCAAGGAATTAAAGAAGTCATATTCATCCAGACAGGTAGGAGAGGTGGAGATGTGGCGACATGGAAAATGCAGTCACATACCCACATGTGGAAGGTAAAAATCAGGAGGGATACCTCAGGAGCGAGGGATCCCAGCCCCACACCTGACCACCCAGCCCAGGGTTCCAGTGCCAGGAAGATAAATCCCTATAACTTCTGGCTGTAAAAACCAGTGGGCATTAGGGCAGCAGAAAAACCATGGTATTCTCAGGTAACACCTCTGAAAGGGCCCAAAATGGACTTAGGACTTATGCAGACTCATTCCCTCTGGGCTCCAGCTCTTGGGCAGCAACTGGAAGGGCACCAGCGACATATGGGGAGAAACGGAAGTGTCTGGCATCAAGATGAGTGCCAGGGGACAGCTTCCTCCTGTACAAAACCCGAGAGGCCAGGCAGTAGCCATTGTCCCTTTTCTGAGCCCTCCCTCATTCAGAGCCACAGAGCAGTGACACCATATCTGAGACTCCATCAACCTAGTTCACATGGGTTGCCCTGCCCTGGTGATTACCTAAGGCTTCACCTCATCCAACTTATAGGTGTGCTTTTCTACAGTAGGCCATGCCACTAAGAAAAGGAGTCATAGCAGCTGTACATAATACATAGAAATAACCACAGGGAGGCTGCCAAAATGAGAATACAAAGACACATGGCCCAAATGAAAGAATAGATCAAAACTCCAGAAAAAGAACTAAACAAAATGGACACAAGCACTCTATCAGATGCAGAGTTCAAAACACTTGTTATTAGGATGCTCAAGGTACTCACTGGGTACTTCAACAGCATAAAAAGACCCACGCAGAAATGAAGGTTACACTAAGTGAAATAAAGAAAAATTTACAGGGAATCAACAGTGGAATGGATGATGCTGAGAATCAAATCAATGATTTGGAACATAAGGAAGAAAAGAGCATTCAATTAGAACTGCAAGAAGGAAAAAGAATTCAAAAGCATGAGGATAGGCTAAGGAGCCTCTGGGACAACTTCAAACATACCAACATTCCAATAATAAGGGTGCCGGAAGGAGAAGAGGAAGACCAAGAAATTGGAAATCTATTTCAAAAACGAATGAAAGTAACCTTCCCTAATTTGGTGAAAGAAATATACATACAAGTCTGGGAAGCACTTGTTCCAAAGAGTTCCAAACAATATTGACACAAAGAGGACCACACCAAGATACATCATAATTTTAGTGCCAAAGGTTAAAGATAAAAAGAGGACCTTAAAAGCAGAAAGAGAAAAGCAGAGAGTTACCTACAAAGGAGTTCCCATAAGACTGTCAGCTGATTTCTCAAAAGAAACTTTACAGGCAAGTGACTAGCACAAAGTATTTAAAGGGATGAAAAGCAAGGACCTACAACCTACATTATTCTATCCAGCAAAGCTGTCATTTAGAATGGAAGGACAGATAAAGTACTTTACCAGACAAGATAAAACTAGATAAGTTCATCATCACCAAGTCATTACTATATGAAATGTTAAATGGAATTATATAAGAAAAAGAAGATAAAAACTATGGATATTAAAATGGCAATAAATTCACAACTATCAACAACTGAATCTAAAAAACAAACTAAGCAAGCAAGCAGAACAGAAACAGAATCATAGATATGTAGATCATTTGGAGGGTTATCAGTTGGGAGGAGGAAGGGGGATAATGGGAGAAAAAGTGCAGGGATTAAGAAATACAAATTGGTAGGTACAAAATAGACAGTGGGACGTTAAGAACAGTATAGGAAATGGAGAAGCCAAAGAACTTATATACATGACCCATGGACATGAGCTACGGGGAGGAATGCTGAAAGGAATAGGGGAGCACTGGGTGGAAGGCAACAAAAGTGGGGAAATTAGGACAACTGTGATAGCATAATCAATAAAAACATACTTAAAAAGTAAAACAGAGAGAATTATTCTGAAAGTCTCAAAGGAAACAAAACACTTATGACAAATTTAATAATTTATGAAAGCCTTTAAGTAAAATTACATACTCCAATGTTGGGAAACGCCCTGTCTGGTTTCAGGAACTGCAGCCCCGCCAACAGTAGTGAGGGCCCCAAGGCTGGAGCTAATCAAGGAGGCCTTGGGAAAACAGGCCACTGAGGAGACAAAATCTTCCTCCCTCACATCGCCCTGCTTGGCCCTGGAGGATGGCTGGTTAGTCAATGACGGGTAAGACCCCTCAATGGAAGGGGCAACCTAAGACATGCACAACCTCATGGGCATCAGGGAAAATACTTGGGGGACATGGAGAAAGGGCAGAAAGACCCTCACCCTTTGGCTATGATATGGCTGGGGTCCTCATTCTATCTGAAAGAAGTCTCCTTATCTCCTGGCTGCTTTGCCCTCCCCCTACCTGGCTCAGATTTAAAACAATACTGGAGACAGCCCTAAACTGGATCTGGCTGTTCCCCGGGGAAATCAAGCTAGAATTAAATTCCTTGAAGGATGCTTTGTTTCTCCCTCAAAAGTTATGATAACCAGCTCATGCAGGGAAGGAAGTTTACATTATTCACAGGCCCCAACCCTAAACCCTTTGGCTCTCTTATGTTTACGCTCTCATGTTTACTCATCTCCTCTCTGACCCATGTAAATCGGTGTGTTCCTGCCATTTGTTTTTCTCAACATCATCTATTCTCTGTGGACATTAACATACTGATGCAATGAGATCACCTGTACATTCCTATTACCTAGCCCCATTGATAACCCTTTTAATAAAAGCCTTTCGACAAAGGGGCTCAGGCTTTCTCCACTAGAGGAAAGAGCCATCCTCTCTCCTGGTAGACAGAGAAGTGTCTGGAACGATTTATTATTTCCCCCATCCATGACAACCCCCAGGACGGGCTCTGTGGGATTCAGAGCCCACACTCCCTCCCTCAGCTGGCCCCCAGACAGGGACCCTCAGATCCAGAGTCCAGTGTCCCTCCCATACTCCAAAGCTGATTCTACTACTAAAGACACTAATGCATACTAATTATTTTATGTATAGTATCAAAACATTTTTCTAGTCAACTGAGGAAATTAGAATAAGCAATTTGAAGTGGAGGCGGGGATGGGAGGACAATTTATGTGTTGAGTGTCCTAGGATTACTCTATCCATGTTTTCAAGTAACTATAT